GAGGTAACATGATTTGAACTTATCACTTCCCCAAGTTATGAAGCATCGTGGGACGGATATAAAGAATTTACATGGACCAAAGATCAACCCACCAAGGCTTCTTTTGGATTGAAGGAAGTCCGGATCCCCACAAGGCCGAGGATCATCATAAACCAAGTCACATTGACCCATTAATAAGATTATGCAAAGAAAGGGAAAAGCTGCCTGACTAGCAGATACCCAAAGGTTTCTCGGTGACTGGGGAAACCGCTACAAAGAAGCTTGCGGTTCTCCCGATAGGCATTTGATGGAACGAACAAGGGAAAAGTGTCCACACATTCTAGCCCTTGCAAACACTACAACAACTCTACGAGCATGGTGAGAAGACGCAGGTGATGTCACAAGACTTGTTCTAGCCACAGCAGCTGATCCTCTTGCTCGACAAGGTGCTAGAATGAGCGACACAATCACCCTATGCACAAGAATTCTTCTAACCGCTCAAGATCTTTATCGCAAAGAGATAGGACATGGAGGGTCCAGCGGAGTTGGGAGCACTCGAAAAGACAGATGGAAGAAAAACATGGCTGAAGTGTCGAGTTGCTCTCGCTAGGGTCAGACGAGTGTTTTATAGCCGGCCTGGGAAGATGAATCCAAATGCCCGTGAAACAGTGGTGCTCTTGCAAAAGTTTTGAGGCATAGGATCGTGAATGGACGCAAGCGGCGACAAACAGTGGACCCCAGATCAAGGTTCTCTACCCGTGACTGTGGACCAATCAGGGATGCAGACAGGATAATTTTGGAATAAAATTACTTTTATCCCAAAATTGGGGGGCATGTGTTTACACCGTAATTTGGAAGGAGGATCTCAGAAGCTCGAGAGCTCCCAAAATAATGTCAGCAAGGAATCAATTGCGTGTGGATCGGAACCAGCTGATTCGGATGCAGCAGTAGAATCGGCTTTCTTCAAATAGCGCCAGCAGATAACAACAGAGGCTATGATTGGCGCTGGAACGAGACAAGCTGGACTCTACAAAAAGGGAAAGATTAGAGTCCAAGTTATCTTAATTTAGGAATATTTTTATTTTATGCCAAAGGTTGTAACAAATCGTACTTGAGTAGGATTCACATTTAGACTCTGGGTATAAATACCAAACCCCGACTATTGTAAAGACAACAATCAATCAAATACAAGTCAATTACTTTTTTCGGCTCCGGCCACCCCTTAGGAGTAGGAGTAGAGTAGATCTCGATGAGTTCTTCAGCGAGAACGGCTGCATCGATCCGGTCGACCTCCACTCCTTCTCTGTAAGTACCGTCATGGTTTATACCTCTGTTCGTATGGCTGCATCGATCTGGTCGACCCCCACTGCGACTCTGGTATAGGCTAGTTATCGACTCTTATCTAATTCAAGTATGGCCTGTGTGATTCTGCCTCACACCCCACTTCTTGAATTAGATCAAGGTCAAGTTATCGGCTCTACCTTGGTATGGCAGTCTTTGGTAGATTCATAAAGTTATCGATATTGCTTATTGCTTTCATTGTTTATCTAATTACAACAATATCACTCTGCCCGATTGAGATTGATCTGGATTGGCCTTATATCTTGTTTAACTCATCGTTTGCTAATCTAAAATTGATCTAATCTACATCTTAAGCGATGAGTTATATTTTTATCGGCTGTTTTGCGTCAATCTTAATCGTGCATAGCGTGCGGTTAAGGCATGTCCGATCTTGAGTAGATCTATTTGTTAATGAAAACCGTTTCTTGGCCCGTCATCATGGCCTGTGGGATTCTACCTCTCACCCCACTATTGGCACCGTGGAGTGGGGATCGTTAGTTGGTAGACCCGTTCCTGAGAAGGCATGACCTTAACTGTGCGCTATGTCTGAATCGGCTATTTAGCCGATATCGAATGCTTTCACGAACAGTTCACATTATGAGATCATTGAAGTAGAGATAAGTTGAAAGATATGTTAGCCCCATGATCTTATTATTGGATTACGGCCTGCATGATTCTGCCTCATGCTCCACTGATATTAGTAATGAGTTAGGGTCATCGAGTCTATTGTTGTTTCTACGGCCTGCATGATTCTACCTCATGCCCCACTGGTCATGGCGATAGATAAGATCTAACATGTTCATTAGATTTATCTTTATTAAACGGTCAAGTGATGTTGAATTGTTTCTCTATATAAAAAGGAGTTCGGTTACTTATAATCATTGGCTCAGTATAAACCGATCATCATCGATATCTTATTGCCATTGATTAATATTTACTTAAATAATATTTATCCTGAATGATAATCGATTCTTCTTATGCAACCCCATGAGCTTTAATCGATTTATTCTTACAAATATGCTGGAATCGACTATTTAGTCGATCTCCTCTCATATCGGCTCTTAGAGCTGCATATTCGGGACTGTCTGGCAACACCGGCACGTTCCGCCCTTAATTACTGATGAACTTTCTCTCCTTGTCAATTGTAGGGTCAAATTGACTGGCACGCCTCGAGAGGATTGCGTAGGATCGACCACCCTTGCGCTGAAGCTAGGCAGATCTGCTCCATCAAGCAGACCCTTCCGGCTTGCTACGTGTGTCTTCGGCACGGAGACGAAAATTCTGTGTCAACAGTTTGATTGTTGGTACAAGAGAAATCTAATCGGCTTAACATTCAAATTTCAGCACCATTAGGAGAAATAAGAATAATACCAACACCTTGGCCATCTTTACAAACCGATCCATCAAAGTATAATTTCCATGGAGTAAAAGTAAGGTAATTGACTTCATCTAAATCAATACCATGCTCAACAAAAAAATCAGCAAGAACTTGACCTCTTAATGTTTTCAATGGTTCAAAAGTCAAGTCATATTCTATTAGTGCGTATACCCATTTGCCTATCCTTCCACGAAGAATTGGCCAATATAACATGTGCTTTATCACATCGGCCTGGCAAGCAACAACACATGCACTAGACAAAAGATAATGTCTCATCTTAGCATAAGCATAGTACAGTGATAAGCATAATTTTTCTATATGGGCATACCTTGTCTCGGATCAAAAAGACGGCGACCAAGATAAGCAATCACATATTCTTTACCTTCATCTTCTTGAGTCAAAACAGCCCCGATTACCTTCTCTTCGGCAGCAATATATAACTTGAAAGGAACTCCTCTTCTAGGTGCACGAAGAACCGGTGGTGTTGACAAATATTCCTTTATCTTTTCGAATGCCTTTTATTGTTTTGCCCCCCGAGTGAACTTAGATTCATCCTTCAGCTTCAATATAGGGGTGAAAGGAATAATTTTTCCGAACAAGTTAGCAATAAATCTCCTCAAGTAGTTCACTTTTCCCAAGAACTTTTGCAAGTCCTTGTTGCACGTTGGTGCCTAAACTTTCTTGATCTTCTCTAGCCTCTTGGGATCAACCTCTATGCCCTTATCATGAATTATGAAGACTAAAAACTTTCTAGCCGATACTCCAAAAGCACATTTGAGTGGGTTCATCTTCAATCCATAGCGGCGCATCCTCTCAAAAGCAAGATGCAAATCGGCCAAATGAGATTTATGGGCGGCCGATTTGATCACAATATCATCAATGTACACCTCCATAATCACCCCAATTAAATCATGGAAAATCAAATTCATAGCTCTTTGATAAGTAGCACCTGCATTCTTCAGCCCAAATGTCATCACAACCCACTCAAAAAGACCAACAAACCCAGGACATATGAAGGCCATCTTAGACATATCTTCCTTGGCCATGAAAATCTAATTGTAACTAGCATTACCATCAAGAAAGCTAATAACCCGGTGTCCTGAAGCATCATTGATAAGCATATCGGCTATAGGCATAGGATACTCATCTTTCGAGTAGCTCTATTCAGATCTCTAAAATCAATACATACTCTGATCTTCCCAGAATCCTTCTTCTCAATAGGCACAATTTTAGAGACCCACTCCGCATAATTGCATGGCTAGATAAACCCCGCTTGCAACAACCGATTAATCTCTTTTTTAATCCTATCATAAATTGTAGAATTAAATCGATGGGGTTTTTGCTTGAAAGGTCTGAATTCTTTCTTAATAGGGAGCCGATGCTCAACAAGCTCTTGGCTCAATCCAGGCATCTCTGTATAATACCATGCAAAACAATCAACATATTCCTTGAGAAGCGCGATTAACTCAACTTTGTAATCGGCTTCCAAATTTTGATTAATAAACGTCGGCCGAGGCACAGAGCCATCCCCAATATCAACTTGTTCCAAAGGGTCGGCCGACGTAAAACCTTGGCCCAACTTATCGAGCTCATCAAAATCATCAATAGCCTCACAGGCATCGGTCTTATTCGCCCGATACTATTCAACCCGATGTTTTAACCATTCAACGTTAGCATCCATTATAATAATGATTACATGATGATATTGAGCCGATTATCAATCGGCTTCAAGGACATAGGAACAAAACCTTGCCTAGTAACACTAATAAATTCAAAACTAGAAAGATCTCTACAAGATAAGCAAGCAATAGCATCATGCCCCCGAGTGTAGGAGCATCGGCTGCAGCAACATGAGCCGATGAATCTAAATGCACGACCTCAACATCATCTCCCACCCATTGGATGAGAAATTGGTGCAAGCTAGATGGCATGCAACGATTGGCATGGATCCAATCACACCCAAGTATCAAGTTATAGCTACCTTGCACGTCGGCGACGAAGAACGTCGTGGCCAAAGTCTTGCTTCCAATGCTGAGCTCCATGTTAGCAACTCCTGTAGCCAGAATAGGAGCACCTCCTCTGACACCGTTGATCATCATGTTGGCCTTGATCAACTCCTCATCAGTGCCACCAAGCTTCTTGTAAAGCGGATACGGCATCAAGTTCACTATCGCCCCACTGTCCACTAACATGCTATGGACCGGTGTGCCATTGATATGGCCCTTCACATGTAAAGGCTTGAGATGGTTGATGGAGTCATCTGGTTTCTAAAATACAGCGCTTTCCATTGCAAAATTAAATTCTACTGCCGTGGAGTCATCTGCCACGATGTAGTAATCAGCAGATAAAACAACTACATTGACCTCCACTCTCTGGAGTAGGCTCATAGTCAACCATCTCCTCATCGGGAACCTCAGGAACCTCCATGCCAACCAGAGCAGCAACGGTAGTAACGAAATCATCAGAGGACACCTCAGAGGCACCTGGGACAGCAGGAGTCAGCTCAACTGACTCGAAAGTCGACTTAGCTGACTCTAGAGCTTCCAAAGCAGTAAGGGCAAGCAAAGTTGGCTCAGCTGACTCAGGAGTCGACTTAGTTGACTGGCTCAACACAGGAGTCCGCTTAGCTGACTCTAGAGTCGACTTAGCCGACTGGCCATCAATAGTAGCGGCATGTCGACCTTCTGGAGGGATTTTGACCTGTACGAGGTTGATGATTTCATTCTCCATCTTGGCAAGCTTCTCCCTCTTCTGTTGCTTATGCCGGGCGCGCTGTAATTTGCACCGTTGAGTTTTATTCAACCCATGAGGAGACCATATGGGTTGCCAGTACTTGGAATCTCCTTCGACGCGTTTCTTCTCTTCAATTCCAAAAACATCTTTAGGATCTTCATCTTGCTTAGATGCTAGAATTTCTTCGATTACAATCGGCTCATCATGATTAGTGACGGGAGCTTCCATGGAGCCGATTGTGATAACCGATTGAGGCCTAGCTCTTGGTGGGGGAACGATGGGAATCTCAACCTTCTTATGCACATAAACTTGCTGCATTGGTGCCTTTCCCGACTCTTGTGGAGTCAAAGTCCTAGAGGTAATCACACGATCTTGACTTGTACTGCTAGAGCTCAATTGACAATTGTTCAATCAGCTAAAGATGGAGGGTCTTGGAATTGAACCAGCAGGATCTCCCCACCTTTGTTGGCTATGCATGGGTGTTGCCGGAGGATACGACACCCAAACTCCATAAGGACCCCATTGCTGTGTAACCGGAGGCGGAATCGGGGGACCCCAATGAGAAACACGAGGAACAACTCTCTGAGACGGAGCTGTTGGTTGCACCACCGCCAATTGCTTGATCTTGTCTTCTTCCCGCTTAGGCAGAGTAGACTCTCTTTTTTTAAATGGCCGATTCTGGGAATCGGCCTTTTGTTGCTTATACTTGGCCATGGGCCTGTCAAAGGTGCATTGCTTCTTCATGAACTCTCCCTGATTCTTCTTCTCATTTGTCTTCTAGGTGCTAATCTCTAGTCGCTGTGGAACAAATGTATGCAAAACACAAACACCAAAGGCACCAGAGCTCAACCGGTTGGCGTAGTCGGCTCAGCTGACTTGGCTGAGGTGGTGGTAGAGTTAGCTAAGCCGACTCCTTGAGTCGGTTGAGCCAACTAGCCCTACTGTGTACTGGAGTCGGCCTGGCCAACTGGTGGAGTTGGCCTAGCCGGCCACTGTTGTTTCATACCACCACTGCCTTTTCAAATATTGCGTTGATCCAGCGGTGATCTTCAACTTGTTCTTTCCTTCATCATCCTTCTCAAGCACCACTTTGTACCCCGAATTCGTTTCGACATTCGGTGCTACACGTGGTTCGCCGATAATCACATTCTTGCCTTGGGATTTATCGGCTTGCTCTGGACGAATCAAAACAGCAGGCACCCCTGCTTCAACCATGTGCATGGAAAAAGGGGTCTTGTCAACTTGCATTTCAGTAAGACTTAATCGTCCCTCATTAAGGGCCGATTGGACCTGCCGACTAAAAACATTGCAATCATTAGTGGCATGAGAAAAAGAATTATGATATTTGCAATAAGCCCTTCTCTTTAACTCATCAGCTGAAGGTAATGTATAATTGATTCTAATATAACCGAATTTCAACAATTCATCAAAGATTCAGTCACATTTAGAGAAATCAAAGGTAAATTTTATTTCCTCATTTTGATTTTTATGAATCGGCTTGAGAGAAGGATAAGTAACCAATTTATTCTCTGCTGGCCATTTAATTTTAGCAGCTAAACATTCTTTATTGTCATCATCAGAATCATCAGAATAATCACCAACAAAATGCACATTCTGACGATGAGATTTATAAGCATCACGAGACTATTTAAGGCGCGATTCAATTGAAACGGCCTTTTGCATAAGTTGATTAACATTGTAAAACTCATAATGCTCAAGCTTTTCTCTAATACTAGAACATTGAAAGGTCGTTGTGTGGTTTTGGTAATTGAGTGACAACCTAAGTGGACTAATTGTGTTTATGGGAGATACACAGGTGATTAGTCCACAGGTACATGTGTGTGAGCAATATATGCCATGATTGTGAAAATGGCTTGGAGATGTTGCAAAGCTCACACATGTGATGATGAAAGAGCTCATTGCAAATGAGGCATGACATTGAGTCATGTGATCAAGGTGGAGAAGATCAAGACATGACTTGGCTTGATGGACCAGTTGCAAGCATGAAGGGCAAGTTGGAGGCTTTGGAGCGATGGACCGTGTGGTGGTGAAGCTTGAGCAAGACTTGGCGCCGATGGACGAAGGCAATGGTGAAAAGCAAGTGAAGTCAAGATCGATGAACCAATATGATCACGTGATGATATGAAGTGGATTATATCATTGTTGATCATGTTGGTGCATGTGTTGCAACAACATTGGAGGAGATGGAGTGGAATGCGCAAGGCAAAGGTATAACCTAGGGCATTTCATTTCACCGGTCATAGGTGTGTAGAGAAGTTGATGACCGGGTTTAGGATAGATGGCCGTACTATCAAGAGGGGAAAACTTGTTTGCATATCGGTCATCTAGTGCCACTCGAGTGATCTAACTTTGCATCGTCGCTAGGATTGAGTGGCATGGCAAGTTGAGTGGCTAATCCTTTGGAAAATGTTTGTAAAAAGCTAACACACATACACATGGTGGTGTACACATGGTGGTGTTGGCACATTTGCAAAGGAGAAGAAGTTGGAGTTTATGTGGATCAACTCGGTGAAGGAACGGAGGCAAGGGTTTGAAACTCCACCGGTGGAGTGTCTGCCTGTAGAGTGCGGATAGTCAGACAGTGCCACCAGTGCCCTATACAGAAAAGACAGGGTCTCACGGAGTGGACCGGACGCTGGTCACGTGGTGACCGGACGCTGGGGTCCTGCGTCCGGTCAGTGGCAGTAGAGAGCGCGCAGGCATCGGTCTTCGACCGGACCTAGCAAGGTGCGTCCGGTCAGGCTGACGTACGGTGACATAGGCGGCGCAGAGAAGTTGGAGAAGGACCGGATGCTGATGCTGCGTCCGATCGTGACCAACCGGACGTGTCCGGTCACGAGTGGAACCTTACTAGAAGTGACCGACGCTGGGGTCCTGCGTCCGGTCATACACTATGCTACGCTTCGGTCACAACTTAATTGTTGAGATCAGGCGCTCAGTATTTGAAGCCAGGGATGACGTGGTAACCATCCGTTGATCGAACGCTGAGGTCCTGCGTCCGGTCGATACGATCGGAGCGTCTGGTCGTCCCGAGTTTTGCCAAGTGAAGGGGTAACGGCTAGTTTAGCCCATGGGGCTATAAATAGAAAGTGGTCTCGGCCATGGCTGGTGCGGAGCACCTTAGGGGACTTTGTGTCCATGCTTGAGAGTGCTTAGGAGCCCTCCATCTCACATATGCTTGATAGTGATCATCCGATTGTGTGAGTGAGTGATTCTAGTGCGATTGCATCGTGAGGTTGCATCGAGTGGCACTAGGTGATCGAGTTGCAAGCCGGTGGTGCTTGTTACTCTTGGAGGTTGCCACCTCCTAGATGGCTTGGTGGTGGTCTCCGTCAAAGCCCGCAAGAAGCTTGTGCAGTGCTCCGGAGAAGAGCTTTGTGAGGGGTATTGTGCTCACCCACGGAAGCCACGAAGAGCAACTCTAGTTGAGCGTGTCATTGAGCTACCCTCACTTTCGGGGTAGGTTCTTGCGGTGCCCGACATGTGGGCTTGGCGGGTGATGCCAATTAGCCGCCGAACCACCAAGTGAGTAGTCGACACAATGGGAACGTAGCATGTTGGCAAGCACGTGAACCTCGGGAGAAAATCACCGTGTCAACATTGTTCTTTCCGTTGGTTTGCTATCCCCTTACACAAGCTTGTATTTACTTTCATATACTTTGTGCTTTTGTAGTTGCTCTTGTAGTTAGTTAGCTTGTGTAGCTCACTAGTTACCTTCTTGCTTGTGTAGCATAGAAGTAGCTCCCTTGCATGGCTAATTTGGTTTGTGTAACCTTGTTAGTCACATTGCTTAGTTTGTGTAGCTAAGTATTTGTGCTCTCTAATTTGGCATTGGTTGTCTTGTTATTGAGCATTGCTAGTGAGCTTAGTTGGCTTTGTGCTTTTGCTTACTAGCATGTGTAGGAGCTCCCTATTGGTTAAAGTACTAGTAGCATATGTTTGTGTGACCTTGCTTCTAGAATTGATTAGGTGAGCTCTAGCTAGCCTAGCACCTTTGTCGCTTAATTAGGATCTTTGCAAGGTGCTAATTAACATAGATAGAGAGGTGTAGTCTTGGCTAGACCGATAATTTTAATTCTGCACTTGTTTCAGTTAGCCGACGCAATTAAGTTTTAGAAATGACTATTCACCCCCCCTCTAGTCGCCATCTCGACCTTACAAACGTAAACCCGCAAAGTATAAATCAGTTAAATCTCTTTTAGAAATATTTAAATGGAAATATCGGTTCTTAATCTCTCTAAATCGTTTGAAAAAATCATGGATGGACTCATCACACCCTTGACGTACCGATGCAAGATGAGACAATCTTGTTTCATGAGCACCGCTATAAAAGTGATTATGAAATTTCTCTTCTAATTCAGCCCATGAACCAATAGAATAAGATGGTAATGAAGTAAACCATGCAAAAGCTGTGCCAGTAAGAGATAAAGAAAAATTATGAACTTTCATAAAATCATAAGCACTAGCTTCACCCAATTGTGCAAGAAACATGCTAATATGCTCCATGGTTGATTTACTATCATCACCACTAAATTTCTGAAAGTTAGGTACCCTCCACCCATAAGGTGCTTTCATGAAATCATAAGTAGAAGGGTACGGCTTTTGATAAGTATTCCTACTAGATTTAAGTTGCACCCCTAAACTACTCTCAAGAGATTTAGCCAATTCATCCTTAAACCGATTCAAGCATCATCAAACTCGGTAGTATTAGGAGTAACATTAAATGTAGGAATTTGACTAGGTGACTTCGGTGGGTTTGGTAAAACATTATGCCATCGCTGAAGCTCTATTTGTTGATGCTCCATAATCGGTTCGAAGAGCTCGACCCGAACTTTGTTCACCAACACCTATACGTGTAGATGTGCTAGCACCAGGTTGACCGGCCTTATCGGTTTTAGATGCCGAAGGGGCCAATTGAAATTGGCTAGCGGAAGCATGAGAGGTTTGATTTACATAAAAATTCAAAGGCATACCGAACTGAGGTTGCTACATGGCACCCGATTGATCACAATCGGTCGTCTTGCCCTCTAACTTATCCATACGTGCTTGAAGTAGATTAGAAAGATGCTGAAGGTTATTACTATGCAATTTTCTTTCATCTATCAACATCTGAGCAAAATTGGCATGAGTAGGATAAGCATCAGTATTTACCTCCTTGTCATACTTAGCTTTTCCATTGCCCTTCTCCTCGGCGCGCTGAAGATTCGGAAGCGGTAGCATCGCCATAGGAGGGTTCACGGAACTGAGTCACCTTGTTGTGCCGATTCTTGGTGTAGCTCTCCAAGAAAGCCTTGACATCGACATCGAGCTTGGCCTAAAGCTTCTGGCCCAACTCATCTGGAAGCTCATCCATGGATTGAGGAAAGATCATGTTAGCCTCATTGAAGGGGCTGGTCTTGTCACCCTTGTCGGTGGCAGCACCATCGTTGCCTCCCATGTTGCTAGTAGATTGATTCTTGATTCGCTTCGTTCATGGATTCAGGACCATCGTCGGTGGCAGCACCATCGTCCATGGATTCAGGAGCTTTCCCCAGCGGAGTCAGCAAAAAGTATGTTGACATTGAGGATGACCCCAAACCAACACACCAGCAGGGCCTTGGACGCCCAAAGAGGTTGCACACAACCTACAACGCAGCAAGAACGCAGCGTAATCGATCAAACCAATCTAAAGACCGATGAGACCGATGTAGAGC